GGCACAACACAAGAACAAAAGTAGTTGCAAGCAGAAGTAGAAAACCATCCACAAAAAAACTTGGTTACAAGCTTTGGGCTTTGAAGTGAAGGGCTGCTAACTAGCTTGTCGTTTGTGTAGCTGGACAATGTAAATCAAGTATTCATATCTTATTTAACAATCCAAGATATTTACTTTATCTAAGGACATCTTACCTCTGGATTTATTTTTGCAAGTTGAACGCATAAATTTGTTGGGAGCTGAAATACTAGCTAAATATGCAGCTCCAACTCTTCATACATAGCAAATCTTACTCACACAGGTAGCAAGGTATGGCCTCGTTTATGTTTAAAGAGGCACTTTAGCCAATCTTATGACAGTTGACACATGCATAACTACTTATACTGAACATTGTCTTGAAACATGCAATCTTTTTATGAAGCGTATTCAATTATAGGATACTCCCCATCGATAGTGTTGCCGGAAGCTCCATGACCACACTTGATGAAGATCGTGGTTGGCTGACAATGAAAGAAAATCTCCACATTACCAGTGAATCCGTACAGCCATTTACTAGAAACATATTAAATTATTAATTAGCATGGGAGAGATAAAGGAAGGAATTACCCTTATCAAATTATGTGACACATATTTGTTCACAGAGAGGCTTCAGCCTTCATAGCTCCACCATGTGTCGGACCACCCAATGGGCAATAATTTGTAGATCCTTCACGAGGAAAGCATTGTTTGTTCTTCAAACTGTCTGGCAAGCATTCATTTGACACGTTCACTAAACCTGCTTTGTGTTCACATGTCAACTTAGAAGAAACAGGTGATTCAGGTGCGTCAGAATGTTTCTCTGATAAATCCAAATGCCTATGGAAGAGCAAATGGGCCACGATTCGATCTATGGGATTGGTCTCTGTTTCGACATCTAGCATCCTACCATGCCTGCAATACCATGGGATTAATAGGAAAGTGAGTGAAAAACAACTCCGACAAAATGGTTCTTACTCCAAACCCAAATATAAAATTGATCAGAGTTTATACACCACAAATATAAAGAGAAAAAAGAAGGGAAAATCATAACTTTCTACAACACATGGGCTGTTAAGTATAGTCAAGTGCATCATAAAAGGTGATAATAGGGTATTCATGAAGAACCCAAGTCGCTGTGAGTGTATATAAAAAGTTAATAAAGGAAAAGAGTTATAGAGCATGAAGTAGTTTCCAATTTACTCTAAAAAAGTGGGAAAGAAACGGTCTTTTTATCCAAAAAACTTGGGTTTTAGGAAACGTTTATAACATAAACAAATCAATATGCTAAAAGTTCTATCCCATTCAAATTCCTTTGAAAACTTAAATCCCACGAGAAGGTGAAATAGAAGCTATTCGGTAAAAGCCGGGATAACAACAATCGGAAAGACGACTTACCAACCCAAATATCTTACCAAAAAAATCCACTTATATTTCCAACATCAACAATGAATTTCAACAAATGAGAAAAGGAAGGATAACACAAAAATATCAATCTGAAAAGCTCGAAGGACATCGAAATGAACCTTTCAGTCATTCCAACCATTAGAATGAAGAGAGTTTCACTAAAATACCCAAAATGGGGGCTGAAATTATAAAAATACCCAACACCCAAAACACTTTATAAACATACCCAAAACCCATCATTACACACACTCAAAACCCATTTATAAACACACCCAAAAAATATACAATTGTTGATTGTGGGGTTGATTTTGGGTATGTTTCTATGTTTAAATAGTGCTTGGGTATTTTTATAAATACATGTCTAGAATTGGGTATTTTTATAAATATCTATAGAATTAACTCCACTTATATTCCTAATATTTCAAAACCGCGGGGGAAATTTTTGAGGTGAAATCTTCAGAACCATTTGCCTACTAAACCCCTAACTCTTTATCCAAGAACTAACCCACCTTTCCCCTTCGGCTTCTATACAAGAACCCAACTGATTAATTTATTCTTTTTACCCTCCCCACCTCCCAAATGAAGTCTCTCATTAATTCTTGAAAAGTTCTAGCATTAACCATTACTAGCAATCAAAGGAATTCACTACATGTGTAAACTAAAATTTCAACAAGTTCATGACAGTTTCACTGATTATTTTCAGGCATGGAAAGAAAAACCAAAAATAAGTTTACTATAAAGTCATGGATTTTATAGGATTCTATAACCTAGATGACAATTTCTCTTTTCTTTTCGGATTGTTTACAAGTAAATATTTTCTTTTCATGGGTGTAAATCCATGTAGGAAATCAGCATACAAGGGATAACCACTTGGGCTCAAATGAAATTGCAACAAAACTACGAGAACAAGGAAGCTTTTTAACCTGTTATGACTATTGGTGTCCTCCTTTGCAACGACTTCATCCTCATCCTTGCTAGTTTTGTTTGAACTGCTAGTATCAATAACATAATGCCTTTGCATTGCACTTTCAGCCAACCGGAACAAGCTATCCCGTATGCAAAGTCTTATTTTGATGTCCAACTGTAGTGAAACATTGCTTTGCCATTGTAACTAAGTCCAATTTACCTTACCAGGAAAAGAATCCACTTTGAAAGTGAGCATACCTTTGATATAATATATTGAAGCCTGTAAAGTATTGTATCCTCCGTTGAGTGATCATCAATTGCTGCAGAAACCATACTGGAATCATCTTGTTCTGCAGATGAGTTTCGGTCCAGAGAAGGAAGAGTGCTAAAGCCTTCAACTTCCAGATCAGCTTTCTCAAAATGCTGAATTTTGTTTTCTCGAGGACATTTTTGAGTGGTAGAATGATTGGTACTACAGATTTGATGACTAAATTGTTGCTGTTGTTTCTGAATGGCAAGCATTGCCTGTAGTTGCTGCCGCCTCCTTAACTTTTCAATTTTTTCTTGAGGAGTCATGGTCAGAGGCTTCACAGAAGTATCTGCTGACTTGTTTATAGCCTTTGCACTCCCAGGAGAAACTTCATAACTAGAAAAACAATGTTTATGCTTCAACTCCCCAGGCTGAATGTGAGACGGCACATATGTAGCATGGTTTAGATTAGTGAGGTTCCCATACATAGACTGGGCCACATATTGGTTTGAGATATGTTGGTATGGAAAAGACTCAGGTCCTTGAAGCTGTCTCTTCTGGCTGAGCTCTGACGAAGGAGAAGATTGTAGCATGAAGTGTGCCAATTGGTTCTCAGAATGTCCGGAAGGGGTTCTTGATGAAGGCCATGTGCCATAAAAATCTTGCAATGATTTCTCCTCGCTTTTCTCCTCCAACTTTCTGCGACCCTTCATAATTTTTCTATGTCTAGAAACCTGCACATATGAAGGAAGAACCCCTATAACTCAATTTGAAACGAATAAGTACAAACTAACACATTGAATTTGATATTGTAATCAAAGAAGATTTTTCTGTACTCGATAAAGTTATGGTGTTAAAGGAAAATATTCAAAATATTACATTCCCATGAACCCATATAACCATTAGAATGTGTCTTTTTAATAAGATCATTACAATGATTATGAAATTTCTAATTGCATGCACAAACATTTGAATGACAAACACAGTGATTTATCATTACGAGTAGAGTCGTGCAACTTTCTAATTGAAAATTTGTTATTGTGGTTACTTCTTTTAAACAAAAAAAAAGGAAACTGAATAAAATATATTGACAGAGAAAGAACAACTATAACAAAACAAGCGAATGGGTCAGCCCAATGGTTTCTTTTGGACCATTGTCTTCTCCCTCAAGAATTATAAGTTTACAACCATTTAAAAAAAAAAAAATTGACTTACTTTTTGCCTTCCAAAAGATCTTATTTTCATCTTGTTTATCCTTTTCACACTATTTTGAATATGAAAATACCTGTTGGAGAATTTTCAAATATAAACGATGCAGAGAGGCGCATCATTTGGTGAAAGAGTGTACAATTGAAGTAGTGTTTATGAAAAAGTCACAACATTATTTTAAGAGGCACCATTCAGTGAACATGTGACTGATTAAAGTGGTATCTTTTCACAGGATACAACATTACAGGAATGAATGCTACAACTTTTATTTTATTTTATTTTTGGTCATAATGCTACAACTTTTATAAGTACCCACATTTCACACATTTGTATGATCCCAATATTGTTCACTCTCTCTTTTTCTAAAACTCATCAGTTTCTCTAGAAATTTCCAGAAACGTTTTCACTATTTTCTAAACATTGAGCCTTCTTGTACAGGTTGGTTTTTATAAGTGCAAAAGGCAGACCAACAACAGAAAGTGCTGGACTTCATTGTATTCTAGAGGCATCTTTGCAATTCCTTCATTACCACCTAACCCATGAATTTCTTCCAACAATACCTGGGCTAACGTCTCTTGGATGAAGTCCAGAAGAAAATGCATTTATCATGTTAAATGGCTACTACTTTGCATGGATGTCTTAAGAATTTCCGTTTTTTGAATATTGTTTTATAGTTTGATGTCGCAGGGGTTGGGGGGGGTTGAATTCTATTCTCCCAAAATTGGATGAATATGGAATCCTAGCACCTTCGTTATTACAACGATCCCTGAGTATGAAATCCAATTGGAATAGTACAACATGAACCAAAATCCTCACTTTGACATACAAAACAAGTAGAAAACTTATGATACTTCAATCATGAATCTCTGAATCTCAGTTGATGTAAATAGAATGTATATACACAGTAAGTAAAAGATTAATGATACTTTAATCAAAGTCGGAGGTCTAAAGGAAAAACTGTGAAAAACCTGACATACTATGAAAATAACCAATACTTTGACTAAAGATAACATTCTTTTTCTGTCAAATGCGATACTCACAGGCTACTGATACTTACCCTCTCTAACTACTAGTTACTCTTCCTCCATGCTAAACAGACTTTTAATACAAAACATTGACAACTCCATTTACATTTTGAAGTAATTTCTTAAGCATTTCCACATCCTGTATGTTATTATTCTAAAAGACATCAGACAGACTATTTAACTTTTTATTAAGAACCATAAATGATTTGCCTCATCATGAGTCCTAGGCATGTCAGAACATGAGAGAGAGAGAGAGAGAGAGAGAGAGAGAGAGAGAGAGAGATGGTACCTTATTAGCTATTTCATTTGGGGTAGAAGAATTCTCAGCAATCAAGTAAGAATTTGTCAGAGTGCTTTTTCCCATGTCCAAATCTGTCTGTGAAAGTCAAATAAAATTATGAGATTGCTTTTCTTGATTAATTTAGTGAAAAAATATGAATGTGCTATGAACTGATCATGTTTTAGATTAAATCATAGTACCTGTTCCTTTGCCATGGGCTTACTTTTACCTCCAGCATATTCTACATGATCAAGTGCATTCTGCAGACCATGAGATGCAGAATAATTCGTCTTTCCATAGCCAGGGGTGATTGACTCGTCATCTTTCTGGGCATATTCTGTTTTAATTTCCAATTTCTCAGATGCATTGCTTAGTGCTCCTGATGTGAAACTTGGTGAGTCTGAAGATACAGGAAAGGCTTTGATTGGACTTGTAGTTGCATCTCTAGAAGAAGACCATAGCTCGTCAGTGTTACCAAGACTTGCATGGCCAAATATAGAGTCATCATTGCTGCAAAATAACCACTTGTGTGAATATTGAGTCAGATGGATACAGCTGCATATTTTTATTATTTAATATGGAAGGTTAAATAAGCTATGTAAAACAATTGGAGTGAGGAGTATCAAAATCTATTACTAATTCATGGTCTGAAACTGTAAATATAATTTAGTACTTTGTATGTTTTTTTTTGTTTTTGAAATGAGACTTTTCTAGTAGTAATCAAGAGGATAAGTTATCCTCGATCAACAACAAAGATAGAACCTGCTCAGAAATAGCAGGGTTAAGATACGAAAGACATCTAACTTACTACGGACAAAGATAAGACAGCCCTATGGACTACTTAATTCCCCTTATTTTAAAACAGCTAACATATCTCTCATGATTATAAAATAATGATAATCATTAAAATGCCCTGAAACAGAAGCCCAAAATTTAACTCTCTCCCACACTTCTTCGATGCTCGCATCTTTGTACTCCTGAAAAATTCTTCGGTTTCGCTCCAACCAAACATTCAAAAGATAGCGTGAACAAGACATTTCCAGATAGTTTGAGCTCTCTTTCTTTTTCCTGACACCACCCATTTGATACTAAGAAGATCGACATTGCCTCTAGGGGTCACCCAAGTAACTCTGATTTCACTCAAAAGTTTCCACCATGAGTTTAGTGAAAATGGGCTGTGCATGAGCATGTGATCGGTGTTTTCTGCGCTCTTTCTGCATAGAACACACCAGGATGGGGATAAACACATCTTCGGGTGTCTTCTTTGAATCAATTCGCAGGTGTTGGTTTTTCCCATTGCGATCAGCCACACAAGGAACTTAACTTTCGGGGGAGTCTTTGCCTTCCAAACAAAGATAAAGGAGGTGAAGGCTTCCCTAGTGTCGTTATAGAGGAGGAAAGACCTAAAGACTTGCAAGAAAACGATCCGTGGTCCTCAATCTCGCATATTCTTTTGTCCGTTCTAGAACCTATAACTCGCACCTCCTCCAGAATATCCAAAAGTTTCACCACTTCGGTAATCTCAGCCTCTGTCAAATTTCTTCTGAAGCTTAAATCCCAGTTATGAATATCAGCAGTGTTGACAAAATCTGAGCTATTATGGTTCTTTTTCCTATATAGGGAAAACAATCTTGGGAATAAATCCTGTAGTATCCCTTCCTTCCTCCAGTTGTCCTCCCAAAATCTAACCTTTTCTCCGATTCCGACTGAAAATCTGCAGCATTGAAGGAAAGAGGTGTACCCCTTCAAAATGTCTCTCCAAGGGTTCCTGTAAGAGGTTGTGACTACCAGTTTGGGGTCCCAACCGTTGGAAGCAATTCCGTACTTGCTTTTAATTACCTTGTGCCATAAAGAATGAGTTTCTAAAGGAAATCTCCACATCCACTTAGCTCTCAGGGCTTCATTTTTTATTTTCATTGACCCGATACCAAGACCACCCTCTTCTTTAATTCTGGAAACCTGCTTCCAGTTCACAAGATGTACTTTCTTCTCTTCCGATCCTTCCCACAAGAAGTTCCGCATTTTTTGTTCCACCTTAGCTGCCACTCCTAAAGGCATCTTAAAGAGAGACATGTAATAAGATGGGATACGGCTCAACACAGCTTGAATTAGAGTGAGTCTTCCACCTTTAGATAAGCATGCCCTCTTCCATTTTTGGAGCCTTTTCTCCACCTTTTCCAGCACTGGGTTCCAGAAACAAACTATTTTTGGGTTTCCCCCAAGAGGAAGACCCAGATACACCATAGGCCATCTGCCCACCTCGCAGCCCCAGCTTCCGGCCTTAGCTTCTAGGAAAGTGAGGCTGGAATTAATGCCGAGGAGAGAGCTTTTCTCCTTATTTATCTTCATACCCCAAACTGTATAAAACAACTCCAACACCTCCAATAAATTTCTCCAGGATTCCTCCTTATCGGCCAGGAAAAAGATGGTATCGTCTGCAAATTGGAGGTGTGATACTTCCACACAATCTTGTCCAACCACTAACCCGTGTAGTAGGTTTACTTCTTGAGCCCTTTCTATCAGTCTGCTCAAAACGTCGCTGACTAGAGGAACGCGGATGGCGGATCTCCTTATCTTAGCCCTCTAGTAGCCTTAAACTTTCCTCTTGGTTTCCCATTAATCATCACATAATAGTTGACAGATTCCAAGCACCCTTTGATCCAATATCTCCACTTTGTTCCAACACGTC